AGCAGACGCGCGCGGCAATCATTCTTCGAACCGGACGGCCAGCCTAAAACGAAAGTTCAAGGGAGGATACGGGCTATGTCAAAGTTAAGTCTGGAATGTGGATTACGTATACTTGCGAAGACGTAGTTAACCCCACGCTAGCACTGATATACTAATTGAATTAGTTATTTCGAAGCAGAAAGTTAAGGGCACGTCTGCGCCAAGTTTTCAACATGAAATAGCTGGCAGAATCGACGTGCTAGCACACCGAGTTCGAAAGTTCTTATTAACCCGGAAGTTTCGTTCAGTATCGCGCCTGAGTGTTATTTAATCACTAATTCGAAGAATATATGTGTGGCCTCGCGCGCTTTTATGAGGAACGAAGTGGGGAAAGAGAACTTTTCTCCGATTAATTTCGATGCCCTGAGGGCCAACATTGATTATTAACAACAAATCCCGAAATAGAACTGTAATTTCTGTGGAATCTTCTTCGCAAAAGATTGTCCATTTTAATTACCGCGATTATCTTTACCAAATTTCGCCTTTTACTTTATCTTGCATGTGCATTTACTCGGTATACTCGGCTTTCAGTTTTTATCTTATTCGACAAACGTTGCGTGAAATGCTGCTTAACGAGGAAATGAATAATTATAATCTTGCGTTAACCGCATTTATCGAGGTCTAATTTGCATAGGATAATATTCGCAAAATTAGAGGAATTAATAATTCATTATATTAAAAACAAAATCCTCTACTCAAAGCTTTCTAATCTACCACTTTGAAAGAATGTGCTTATTCTTCTTCTTTGACGATAAACGCGATTAAAATATTTTACGCATATAAAAAGTATTTTATCTCGAATTATGAATTGATTTTTTCGTTTTTAAAATACATTTAATAACAGTTTTAGTCTTAACAACAAGAGTTATGCATATTAAACGGTGAGTAAAAAATCATTATCGAAAGAAATTGTTTAAAATAGATTTCAAGTAAATACTTGAAAAATATATTTGAAGAAGAATAAGATTTTACTATTTATATTTTAATATCTATATACGAACTAAATTATTAATCTAATAATTAAGCTGTTATTATAATGTTTGATCTTATATTTCTATGAAAAAGACTCACCGGAAAGATGTATGTAATACACCACGAAATGCTGCATCTGTAAAGAACAAAACTTCAGGTAAGACTTGCGTATAAATTCCATTTAGGAAGATACTTAAACTAATATTCGAAAATATATATATATATGATACAATATATGTACACATATATGTATATATGTGTATCAATATATGTACATTATACACGTACAGGAAGCTAATGGCATGCCGGGACTAGTGTTGAATCACTTCACTTGCACGGATTGCAGGGTTTACAGTGGTACCGCAAGGGAGATACCAGGGTGATCTTGCCACACTACAGGAGATATAAGCCGCTTTATGTTCTCCTGTCCCATCTACAACTGTAACGTTGTCGCTCGCAAAGTTAGTGCCGATTGACGCGTAGATAGCAGGTTGGCTCGTGAATTTAAAGCTGATACCTCCCACGACGTTTTACTATTATTAAGTCGATCCTCTAAAACATTAATGCAAAAAAAACACACATGTATTATTACTCATCTCGACGACGTTCGTATAGCAACTGGTACATCTCCTCGCTATTAGGACGCATTTATTTCTTATACGATTCGTAGACGCGACTCGTAAAAAATAACGTGACGGACGAAGCTCTCGCGCTAAATATTTTATATCGAGAAACGACCGCTTTCCGAAGCGATAAAAATTTTAACTGTATAAATAATTAAAGACGCAAGAGATAATATAAGAGCGATACTGTGTTACGGCAACAAGATTATTTTATATTCAATTTTTTCGACATATATAAAAATCAACAAATGCTCATGCATCACACGCGATAGTAGACATTTTAAATTCAAAATATGTATAGTCGGTCACTAACGCGGTTGCTCGTCATAATAAAACACGGTTAACATGACGCCATTTTATATAAAAGTTTATTATGTAGACTTTATGCTTTTGATTTGAAAGGTTTTTATATTATTATGTAAAACGTCAGATTTCAGATTTTAAATTGTCATACCTCGGGTATATCAGTTATGCATTAGCCGTACGATTCGGTGCGTGATACGAGGAGTAATGTGTACGTAAGTTTCTACGAGGAGAGAAGCGGGGATACACTGGAAGTTCGCGCGCTTAAAGTTTCGATATGATGCTCGAACGATCGCGTGCTGATTGCGCGGTATTTGTCGGGCTACTATCGGACCGTTACTACTTGTAAGATCCAAGAGTACGGAATACACTGATTGCAGGCTTGTAGCTCGAGCAAACTTCACCCCTTGCCCGTGTTTGTGCTGTCTGTTCGTGAAAGTTATCATCTCCCGAATGAAGTTTGCACTTTTCCGCGCACGTAAAGAGATCATCGCGATTCCGAAGGGTAAGGCAGGAAGAAGTGACGGCGGCAAGCGAGGGGGACTGGGCATAATTTATGACGGATAAAATCAATGATGACTCGACTCATTTGCGATTTACATTTTGACTATATATTTTTAGATTTTATTACTGCTGATAAGGCGCACGGAAAAATGTAATTAAATGGTGAAATCAGACAACGATAACAATCTCGTATTGTAACTTATATCTAGGATACATATATTGCTTTTATTATTTTCGGACAATACAATGCGTGAGGAGCGGAGTTTATGTATCATTTGTGAATATCTAATCAGTTCCATTATAACGACAATTTTATATTATATTTTTGTGAAATATATTCCTATTGTAATATTTGTAATTATCTTTTAAAAAAGAATTTTTATCTTTCGTATAAATCATTATTCAAATAAATGTGTTTAAAATTTATTTTTAAATAAAAAAAAAAAATTTCATATATTAACATATATTACCAGTGATATAAAACATCATTTATTTTGAAAATAATATTCACGGTATTTTTATATTTATAAAATAGAATAGAATGAGATTAAAGGATATATATATATATATATATATATATATATATATATATATATACACATATATGTGTGTGTGTATTATATGTATATGTATGTATGTGTGTTGTATATTACAAATGAAAAATTTTAATTATACCCATGTATGGAGGAGATTCGTGATATCATGTTTCGATATCACGAACTTTGTAGAATGCAGATATGAGTGAATTTATTTGGATAATATCGCGACATCCAGAGGCCAGCCTTTTCTCTATTTCTGCCATTTTGCACAATAAATCGATAAATACAGAGTTGGGAAAATCAACTAAAAGAAAACGTTTATACTAATAATAATTATAAATACTTGACATATGTGCATGTCAAAACATATAGTAATACATACTTTTAATAACACATAAATGAATTTCCGTCAATATATCCTGCAATGCAAGTCCTTTGTTCAACTTCAGTTCTTGAATTTCTTAATAATATATATTAAAGATTATATAATTTTTATATAAAGAAAATTATTGTATATAGATTTACTATAAAAGGATACTTTTGTAACATGTATCATAAGATTCATTAAGCAACCAGTTTATAATAGTATGAATATCACTTGGTAATGGATGCCCAACACAGTTATATACATTCTCTTGATTTACTATGCCATAAGCAAACCATGTACTTTGAAGTACACTTAATACTTTTCTCATATCACCACCACTTAATGTCATTAATGCTTCCTTTCCATCTTCTGTTACTTTTAAGCTATACAATTTTTTATTAACAAATTATGTATGTAAAAGAAATCATAAATAAATAATTAAATATAAAGTGAAGTTTTGCTTACTTTTCTGCTTCAATAACGTAATTTAATCTTGGTATTATTTGTTCTGCTGCAAGAGGCAGAAACCTAAATCTGGTACAACGAGATTGTAAAGCTGGGATGATTTTACTAAGGTAATTGCATATGATGCAAAAACGTACATTATCCGTATATTTCTCAATAACTGAAAATAATATATAAAAAGAATTAAATGTAAAGAATTTGAAGTCTACAAACATATCAAAATTGTCACCTACTTCTTCTGAGTGCATTTTGAGCATCAATTGTCATGGCATCTGCTTCATCCAAAATAATTAACTTAAATGCAGATTTGTACATAGTGCCTGTACTGGCAAAACTTAAAATTTGGCCTCGAACAATACCAATGCCTCTGTCATCAGAAGCATTTAATTCCAACACCTAATATGTAACAAGTAACTGCATATGAATAAAGATAAAAACATGAGATTATTTAATAATAAATATAATATATTACCATTGAATTGAATTGTGTTGGAGTATAAAGTTTACGAGCACATGCTAATATAGTACTGGTCTTTCCTGTCCCAGGTGGTCCATAAAGAAGCAGATGTGGTAATTGATTTTCGTCGATAAATTTGTTTACTGTGTAACAGACAAATTTGCATTTTACTCATTATATTAATTTAGCCAATAAAGTATATATAAAATATATATAAAATATATATAAAGTATATATAAAAAATTTCATATATATTTACTTACTCGTCCTTATTATTGTCTCATGAGAAATAAGTTCATCCAAACTTTTGGGACGGTATTTCTCGACCCTAAAATATATAACAAGATTTTCAGTTAGCAGGTTTCAATCATTAACATTTTAAATATTGTACTGACCATGGTAAATTAGCACGTTGTTCAGCAGTGGTGGATGACATTTTGTTCACAATATAAAACTATTAGTTTGAAAATTATGTTTTAACGATTTAAAGGTTATTTCATTGCCGCGTGTTTTAAACTAATTAAACGTTTCCTCCATCAACCATAGAATGTAATTTTTTGTAGATGGTATGCCGTATTTCAATAAGGATAATATCCATAAATGATGCAAAAAAGAGAACGGCTATTGCGATGTTTCTCTTGAAATGTTTTTCAGTCAAGCAGTCGGTAACGTCATCAATCTTCAATTTCCCGGGTCTATTGAGCACACTTGATCGCGCCTTTCTCTCTGGTGTATAGATGACGTTTACAGATATTTAACAAAAATGAGTTTGGAACAAAGAGATTGGAGATTCTTGTCAGAAATGTGGATATACAAATAGTTTTGAATACATTTATTGTGTGTATATAATAAGAGTCATCAATTATGACACTTTTATTAGTGAATTTGACCGATAGCACGGATATTTACGACTGGTGATTTCCTAGCTGAGATCCTTGTTGACAATTCTTCAAATAAAAATGTTAGTGTGAGAGATCATGTATATCATAATATGTCAAATATATATAATTAATTAAAAAAAAATTTCATGTGACATTTTATTATGCATCAATATAAATGTGTGGTATCTACTATCATTTTGAATTGATTTTTTTGAATTCATAAATATTTATAGATGTTTAGTCCCATACAAATAAAACATGAATGTACAACTGTAGAAGATGTAAATACCAATAATAGAATCAGGACTTCAGATAATTCAATATATCCTTTTATCAATCAAGATGTTGAATACAAACACCGTCAGTTATCTCAATTTTGGGAGCAAACACAATTATCGAATGAGACACCTACAAAAAATGAAGTTCATGATCAACACACTATGTTCCAGGCAGAAGCAAGTATCTATACATTATTATGTAAGTAATTAGTATATTCATTATATATATTTAATTCTATATATTTGCATCTTAGGATACTGGGAGCTTACCATATATGAAGAATTATGCGCAAAATAATGTATTCTATCAAGTTAATCAAGAAGATGGCAACAATCAAATACAGACAAATAATCAATGTCTCCAGAGTACAAACAGTGTTGTCATAGTAGAGAATAAACAATCACAATTATCACAAGATTTGCAAAATGTAGGAAATATTAATCAGACATTAGCAACACAAGCATCAATTGTAAAAAATAATCGTCTTGGGAGACCATCAAAAAGCTCCACAGAATCTAATATGGGAAAAAAATCGAAATGTCAATGTGAGATTTGCTTTAAAGAATTTGGACACAAGAGCAATTTATTTATACACATGAGAACTCATAATGGGGAACGACCATATAAATGTAATCAATGTGAAAAGTGTTTTACGCACAGTGGAAATTTGGCTATTCATATGAGAACACATTCTGGTGAACGACCATATGGTTGTCAGATATGTGGTAAAATGTTCAGTCATAGTGGTAATCTTTCTACTCATTTGAGAACTCATTCAGGTGTGAAACCTTACAAATGTAGCGTGTGTGGTAAAGAATTTAGACATAGCGGCAACTTATCAATACATGAGAGAATACATTCCGGAGTTAAACCATTTCAATGTAAAATCTGTGGGAAGGAATTCTATCATAGCGGTAATTTGACAACTCATATGAAGAAACATCCTGTAAATACAAACACAAATGCAATTGACTGTGAAAATGAGCAGAAGCATATATTACATCCTGAGATAGATGTTAACAATACTGCTTCTTCAAATTATTTTAATAATGTATCTTTAATGCTCAATGATGACATTAAATCTATACACAATACTAATAATGTGGTTCCTATAAAAAATGAAAGTACAGAGGATACTGTATTAAACACTGTAGGATGATTAGTATTCTAGTTGAAGTTAAATAGTATTAATAATATTATATACAAGTATATAATTTGAATCATATAATTTGTTACGCAAACTAATACCTTGATAACTAATCAAGATTTTTGAAAAATTCATGATTTTGAAGAAGAAAAAATATGCAATATATGTGTAATATATAACTTAAAAAAAAATTCATTTCAGATCATGTTATTATTTCAAACTTTTTTATTACATAATATATATTAAATAGTAATATATATCACAATATAGAAATTTTTTTAAATATTTTTTATTAAAAAAATAATATTTTGATTACAGGCTTTAATTTGTAACACATTACATGATTCATCCAGCATATTAAGAATTTTTAGATTATTGAATCTTTATAGTATTTTTTTTAATGCTGTATACACTTGTAAATGAATAATTTTTTTACTGAAAAAGGCAACAAATTGCCTTCATTTCTACTTTGTGCAGTTACATGATAGTCTTCCTGTATTATCTTAATGTAACATTATTATATTGTAATATAAGATTCGATTTGAAAATTTTATAGATTTATTTATATAATAGATCAGTGAAATATTAATTATATAATCTGTGATGTTTTCGTGTTACTAAGAGAGGATCTGACAAGATAATGAAAACTTTATTTTATAAAAAAATTTTATTTATATAAATTATTAACATATTTCATACTTTTCTTGTTTAATTATATATTTATATAAGTACTTGATACTTTTAAACTTAATCGCCCTCGGATTAAATGAGCAAATCATTACAATTATTATTAATATCTTTTGAGTATATAAAGTAATGCATATAAAAATAACAAAAATAAATAGCACAGTTTGTATGAATCTTTGTTTTCCTATGTGCAATTTACATGTAATAAATTAATGATAAAAATGCTTGTTAAAACATTTTCTTGTTATGTTATTTTTTATTTTTTTTTCTTATTATATACAATTTTTTCCAAGGAATGTTATTTCTACTTTTCATTCTTTTATATCATATTTCATATTATAGATATTGGCTGAGTGATAGTTTGCAAGTGAGATAAGTTAAATACTATATAACTTTTAGTCGCGCGAACGCGAACATAAAATTCTATTCTATTTAACATTTTTAAATACTTTTTATATAATAATATATAATAAATTTTTAAACAAACTAATAAACTTGTCTTTTATGTATAAAATTTTTTAGTTTTAATTATATACAATTCTCTCTCTCAGTTTAAATAATACTTATTTACCAATTTGAATTTCAGATATAATCTATATTGCTAATATAGATATTTTATATGTAAGATATTTTAATACTGTATAATTTCCTCACATAATCTCACAGACAGGAATCAATATTTTTATTAAGATAAGAAATTTGTGATTTATGTGTTTTATATGATCCCAATATTACTATAAGAAATTTACTATTTTTTAATATGCTATTATAAAATTATTAGTTTATATTAGATATAAAAAACTATGGAATGTAGATTATTTTACTGGATATTAATGTTTGTTTAAAGTCATTGGTATAGACTAGGGTAACTACGATGTTATCATAAACATTATTTTAGAAAAACTTTCTTTCTGTTTGAGCCCTTTACTATACTGCTTACTTTCATTAAATAAATATAATTATTTAATGAAACAATTATATGCAATTAACGTACAACTTTTAAGGGGACAGTCATGTTCCGCGGTAAACGTGCTGCAAGAGCTTCTGCTACATTTTCAGAAAGTTCATGCCAAATATATTGTCCAATTATAGGCACATCTTCCAAAGGTAATTTGAAAGACACCAATAATGTCAAACATAGACCGTCTCCTCCTTGTCCACCACTAAATTCGACAGACAATAAACCATGCGGCTTATGTTGTGCTACATCGTTCCCGAATATTTCCTAAAGAACAAGCGATAAACGCGTAAATATACATTTATAGAGCAAACTTATTCTTTTCCTTTAAACTATTTAATTTTTCAACTTATTTCTTAACGTTTTTATTTTTTCTATAGACAAATATATCGGATATTTAAAAAAATCTATTTAGAATATACAGAAAATATCTCTATTTAGAAAAACATACATTTAATTTTCTATGTAGTAAAAGTAGATTTTTAAAAAATTATATATAAAATATATGTAATCAATTGCAATATATACTCACTGTCATAAAGTTATGCAAAGTAGACAGTAAATTACGATTTGGATTGACTTCACAAATTGGTGGATTATATTGTTCAGTATCAGATATAAGCACATGCAATCTGTTCCTATTGTGACAGAATTTATTCATTTTTTATTTTCTATCTATTAATTTAAATATAATTATATTGTTGTAAATTATTATAATTAAAGTTTTATTAAATATTTATATCACTTACGTTGCCCTTTTTTTAGATGTAACTATTAATCTCAGCAATAGTTTTGCATGTGGTTTGGTCATGGGCATTAAATAAGGATGTTGAGAAGTAGATTTATTTGAAACATAACTTCTACCTCTATCTAAGAGATATATAATATCATTAGACCTTAGTGGCAAATCATTTATGTTTCTTATCCAACATGCCTGTAAGGATTCCTCATTTGCTTGATCAGGTGTTTTTAGAACACCGCCAACTATATCTCCAGTAAATACAAAGCGAAACCATGTGCCATTTGCACATTCTACCAATATTAGAGTTGTTGGTGCTATTACTAGACCTGTTTCTTCTAAGACTTCCCTTTTTACAGCACTTATGAGGTTTTCGTTTTTCTCCACTCTGCCAGCTGGTAAGTACCATTTTCCAGTACAAGAAGCTTTTGCTTCTTGCATCATTAATACTTCACCTTGATCATTTATAACAACAGCAGCGACTATGTATGTCACTGTTTTCGAGCAAATGGGAATATGTCCTGTTAGTTGACCTGATTTTGCAGCTATAATATAAAATAGTTTAATTAAATCATTTTTCTATTGTGAACAAAAAATCTTTTAATAATATTATAACAATAATTAGTAAATAGATAATTTGACATACCTATTGTGTCACTCGCCAAAATATGTACATTACATATGTCATCATTTTCTAATGCTTGTCCGGCAAGCAATAATTGAACTTGATTCTCTATAAAATCTGACATGTTATATATAAACAAAAATATTATTTTGCGTGCAAAATAAAATGCAATTCAGATATATATTAAATGAAAATTATCGTTACCGACTTTGTATGATTAGTGATTAATAAACAACATGAAAGTGACAGGTGACAGCTATCAGCTTGTAAATATGTATAAAAATAAATCTCAAGGTAGAGAGAAGACTGAGAGATGTCATGACCTGCTTTTAGGTGATCCCTGAAAGCGATACTCCCTCTATGGACATTGAAAATATGACATAAACTACAAAGCCAAAGTCCATGAATGTTCTCAGAAGGTATAATGTGCACAATTTCTGGTTTCGTTCCGTGCTATGTGCATGAAATGCCGGTAGCACCAGAGTATAACAAGACACTCATGTATATAAATTGATAGTAAATAAATTATTCAATGCGCGAAAAATACTGTAATCTTCCAATGTAATGTTCAAAAATGAAATAAATATTTTTCTATATTCATTGCCATATTTATATATTTTTATTTACAAAACACAAAATGCCTGCTGTGAAATAAAAACATTTTTAACTGTTATTTCTATAAATTTTAACTGTTATTTCTATAAATTCTATAAATTTTTCTATACATTCAATGTCATATTTATATATTTTTATTTACAAAAAAACAAAATGTCTGTTGTGGAATAAAAACCTTTTTAACCGTATTTCTATCAATCTTTTTAATTAGCAGTAAACTGATTTTTGATATTTATTAATTATTTTTTTAATTATTTAAAAATTTAATTATTAATACATATATAATATAATATAATTATTATATTAATAATTAATATGTATAATATATATTAATATATAATATATATTAATAACGTATAATATAAATTAATATATAATATATATTAATTTATATATATATATATATATATATATATTAATATATATAAATAATTAATAATTATTAATATAATAATTATAATTACGGTATCTCTCTTAGTCTGACTCTTTCTCTTTGACCTATCCGGCATGGGTGACCCTACCAGTAATTAAGGCCGGTGTTTACACAGTCTTATATTTAAAATCGTTTTAAGTAAAATTTAGAAAATGTTTGTTATTTCATTGAGACAGAATTTTAAGATGCGATCTAAGATTATATGCGATTTAAGATGATTAAATATAAAAACAAATTGTATGAATACCGGCCTACGTTACCGCCGGCATAGCTCTCCGGATCATTAGAGTACTCAAACCTCCTCACCCGGCAAATGCCTTCGTTAAGGTGGAGATACCATCGAAGAGGTACAATTTTTTTATTTTATTTTCTTTTAATATAATGTAGGTTTTTCAAATTTTCCAAATAGAAAATATAATACAAAGAATGTATAAAATATACATATTATATATATATATATATATATATATATATATATATTATATAATTATAAAATATTATAATGCATAATTACATAGCTTGCAGTCATATAAAAATATATTACAAAATGTATATTATAATTATAGTACAATTTATAAATTGGTATCAACATCAAATAAATATGTATTCGAATTTATTCAAATATTTTCAATAATACGGATAATGATGTTGAGAGCACACACACACTCTTAGACTTACAATAATACTATATATATAGAAAGAAAAAAAAGGAAAATTCGGAAAGTAAAATAATTTTTCGAAAAATGAAGATATATTTTCCATTTTTCGACATTTATTCAAGATTTATTCTCTATTGTTACAAATATCTTTTATACATAATTTTGTTATCATTTTCATAATAGTATAACTTAATATATAATATTTTATTTTAACTCAAAATACAATAGAGTTATAAAATATGAATTAAAAAATTAATTTAATATATAATAATACAATCAAATTGAAAGTATATAATGTATAACAATAATAAAATATATATACATAATACATATATATATATATATAATACATAAAATTGTTAATACATAAGATAATACATAAAATTTTTCGTTGAAAATATATAGTGTAATACATAACAATAAAATATATATTATATATAATACATAAATTAATACATAAAAAATTGTTATGTAGAATATATACATAGATTACTTTACTATATTACACAAAAATATCCGCAATACGTACAACGTAAAATTGATTAGAAATTTTTAAAAAATTTTTAGATTAGCGTTGCTAATAATCTATCGCGACTAAAAAAATAATTAATAAATTTATCGCTTGTGTTCCTCTCAATTAAGAAAAAGTAATTTTAATGCGAAATTTTAATTCATTTTATAAGATTTTCTAAAAAAAATGTTTGATGACGCGGAAAGATAAGTAAAACTTTGATGTTACCCAACAATTAAATCAAAGAAAAAATTAAATTTCGCGGTTTAAATTTCGCGAATATATATAATAAAAAAATAAATTAATAATAACAGTAATATTTAACCACAATACACATAATTTCTAATAATCGGAATACAACGTGCGCAATATAATTATTATCATTTTGTGCGACAATAAAAATATTGCAACATTAGAGGCGCATTTCATATAATTTGCACAATATTATAATATACGTAAGGAATCAAACGCGGATGCAGAATCTAAGAGCCGATTTCTTTTCAAATATACAATTTCATGTAAATTTCGCGATCAAAAGTAAAATATATATCTTGTTCCGCGAACAATTGCAAACAGGCTAAACTCTAATAATTCTTAAAATAATCGCGTTATCGCCACGCTCAATGAAGAATAACTGGCCTAACGATTAGACCAGATCAAAATCCCTCTGCCGAGTGACACGCTGGTTAATATCTGACAAAGAGAAGAACGATCCTAAAGGTGGGAAGCGACTTCAATTTGTCTTATTTCTTCTATTTCGGATCTCGCGAAATCGATCCACAACGGATAGTTAAGTGATTCATTAAACATCAGAATCTTCTCTACAAGAAGGAACGAATCCCCGATCTTCCTGATTGCTCCCGATAACAGCGATTTCGCAGCGGATTAACGACTGTTACCCTTCTTATCATTTTCAATATATAATATTAAAATTCGCGTAAAAAAACATCTTCCATTTTAAGAAATCTTTTCTTTTTACTAAAAAATGACTGGATATAATAGTTTTTATATACATGTTACAATCAAATATATTTAAAGGTAAAATGAAATACATGCGCTTTTATCGTTGCTTGATTAAATGTGTGAATAATATTAATTTTAGGGTACCAAATATGCTCAAAATTCGAGACAAATCAAATCTGATAACAGCAAGATTAAAAAAAAAATTCAATTTGAATATTTAGCAACATCAAATGAAAGATTATTAAGAAATTAATTCTTCTGTTACATTTAACAGTTAAGACTTAGCATGTAACAATAATTTGCAGATATCTTACTGATATCAGAGTACCCATTCGATTTGTCTCGAATTTTTTAATTAATCACACATTTTATATTATATCATGCATTCCTAATTTATTATTAAGAATAATATTAAAAAATAGTTTTTCAAATATGTCACAATTTACGCACATGTATTTTATTATATATACACTCTTATCTAAAATAAACTAATTATAATATACATAAGATAGTGGAGCATCCAGTAATTCCTGCAAATGGTTTCTTAAAAGAGACCAAAAATAAAATTAATTCAAAATTAATTAATAAAATATATTTGTTTGTAACCAATTTTTCAAATAATAAAAATTTTGCATAAAAAAGTTTGCGCAAAAACTTATTAAATTAAATTTATATTTGAAAAAGTGAATTTTATCTATTATATCCATTTTTGAATTATTATTAAATATTTTCATCATTAAAATAATAGTGATATTAATAGGAGACTATTAATGGAAGAACATTTTTAACAAAAAGAGAAAATATACCTTCTTTCAAAGTATAATGAATTTTGTAATTCGATTTCAAACAATGTATGGTGATTGTCGTTAAATCACTGCCAAAACATTGTTTCCAGGAACCGCCACGAAAACCTGGGTTTAATTCCTACTCTGTAATGAAACTTTCAATTTTCAATGAGGCCGAACTAAGCGTTGCGGATAGATCTCACAAAAACCGGCGAGAAATAACTTTCCGCAATGAAAATCGTTTCAATTCTCCGCCAGTACAAACCGCGCATTTGCTAGCGTCCACCTGACATGAGGGATAGCGATAAGGCTTCTTCGTCGAGACAGCGATCACATCCAAAAACGTGAAAAGAACGCAATTGTTTGAAATATAATTTATTATAAAAATCAATAAATCGTAATCTATAAATATTTAACGCGATGCGAAATTCTCGAAATACATTAAATTAAAAACGATAATCAAAGAAAATTATTTTGTTTTATAGATTTTAATTTCCGCATGATTGATAATGTTTAATATTTCGCAATATTTTATTTTCGAATATACTTGTGTTTTCTATAATATTAAAAGAACGACAAATTTTACGTAAAAAGCTAATATCTAATTATTGGGTTAACATCGTGTTTTTCTTGATTCATTTTTATTTAATAACCTTTATATTATGTAAAAAAAATTTTTTTACGGTATTTGCGCGATTACGAAAGTTTCTCGAATTTATTAATAATCTTTTAGTATAAAAAATAAGCTATCCAAATATTTGAATAATTTTGCAATAAAAATATTCAAATAAAATATATCAAATGTGTTAATTAAACAAATTTTGTTATTGTACGTATTCACCTAATTTCGTGTAATGTACAATAGATTTCTTTTACATTATTACAACTAGATTATAATTTCTATACAATTGCAAAGAAAATTATGAAAAATAAAAAATAATATAATTACAATTTATAGATATAATTATAATGTTAATTACAATTTAATAATTGATGCTATTAGTATCAATATTCTCAACATAAGAAAATTGCAAAATTTTTATTATTTAAAATGATTATTCAATGATAATCAATGTATATGATTTCAAATAAGTTAGAAAAAAAAATTATTTAAATTGAATTACTTTTGTCTCTCAATATTTTATCAAATAAATATTATCATATTAGATACTAATAACATTCACCTTTGAATTTAAAATTGTATAATTTAAAAAAAAATACAATTTTTAGTAGTGATAAAATAAAATATTAATACAAAAAATAAAATATTAAATTTAGTACATGTTATACGTATAATAAAATGCAACTTAA